ATTTTTAAATTTCACTTTTAACTTTTAAAATATATATGTCTTTAGTATACGTATAGGTGGTTGATTTATAATAATTCAACCGTCTTCACTGATGAAGTTATCGCCTCTGAGTTTCTCAGCCGGATCTAGTTTCAGCCACGACGACGACGGTGTCGAGTTAAATTCATCTCCATTCGCCGGCGGCGCAATGCTGCCCGTTTTTCTCAATGACTTGAGTCGTACCAATGGAGAATCCGGCAGCGGGAGCAGCTGGGAAAGAGAGCTCGTCGAGGTCACCTTAGAGCTCGACGTCTCCGATGACTCCATTGTTGTCTGCGGTATGTCCGAGGCCGCGGCGGCGGAAGCGGCGTCTGTAGATTCTCGGCCGAGGTCGGTGGATTTAGTGACCGCGAGATTGTCTAGGAACCTATCGACGGCGTCTTCGAGAATCAGGCAGAAACTTGGGAAATTGCTAAGGTCGGAGTCTTGGAAAACGACGACTTCTTCCGTCGGCGGGGAAAGAGACAGAGATGTGGAGCGTTCGGCGGGGGAGACTTCGGGGATCATGACTGCGAGAGATAAACGGAAAGAAAACGCTAAATTACAGCGATCAACGTCGAGTGCGCAGAGAGCGTTGAGAGGATTACAATTTATAAACAAAACAACGAGAGGAGGAAACAGCTGCGATTGCGACTGGGACTGCGATTGCGATCAGATGTGGAAAAAAGTTGAGAAACGTTTCGAATCGCTCTCTAAAGAAGGTTTACTGGCGCGAGATGATTTTGGCGAGTGCGTTGGTAAGTTAGTAAGTCATATGTAATATATATTCTGTTTAATTATATATACACATATCAAAAGTCATCACAAACTCTGTTTTATCAAAACAAAAATGTAAAAAAGGTATGGTGGATTCGAAGGAGTTTGCGGTGAGTGTGTTCGACGCTTTGGCTAGACGACGGAGACAGAAACTGGAGAAGATAACGAAAGATGAACTTCACGATTTCTGGTTACAGATCTCTGATCAAAGCTTCGACGCGCGTCTTCAAATCTTCTTCGACATGTACGTCTCTCTCTTTTTTTTTTTTTGTCTTTACGTTTATAACTGTTACGGGAATAACGCATTGCTTTTTGCAAAAAATAAAAGCGTATTAGAAAACAAATGTGTTGAGCCAATTGCTTCGAATATTAATTAGTTGACGTTAATCATTGACCAAAGTTTTTATCTGTTTTTTGTTTATTAAGTATTCCGAAATCTGAATAATGTTGATCAAGTTGTATTTTTGCAAAAGTGGGGGGGTTTGCTTTTTGTTTTCTTCTTGTGTGGTAGTTTGTGAAGATTAGCTGCTCAAATCACACATATTGAGTAAAAATGTTGTTGATTAAAGATAACATTAGCTCACCAATCACTCTTTGATTGGGAAATTTTTATCTCTTTTGTGAGACTACCGCAATCTCACAGTAGTTTTCTTTAATTTTGGGAATTATTAGGCATGAATAAAGACATGTGTTAGCTAACCTAAGAGATGGTGATTTTTTTTTCTAAAGGTAACGCTAACCAAAATGTTTCACACTGATATATATCTATCATTTAAATCACGTGGTGTTATTAGCCGTTCGATCTGGTAGTTCACGCAATCAACGGTGAAACATGGTCTAATGTTTTAAAGAATGGGCCACGGTTTACTTGGCCCAGTCAAATAAAGTTTCTCCATTTTTTCAAAAAATGTTACCTCTTTCAGCCTTTTTATTTTTCCCGCCTGCAAGTATGATAGATGATTTCTTATTTCGTTTTGCAGTGTTACTAATCAAAAACAGAGTTTAACTGGTACGTGTTTCGTTACAGGGCTGATAGCAACGAAGATGGGAGGATCACTAGAGAAGAAATCAAAGAAGTAAATTCTTTTTCTATCACAGCAATTTACGTATGAAACAATCGATGTCTTAACAATTCATATACTTTCGAAACACAGCTCTTAATGCTAAGCGCATCAGCAAACAAGTTAGCAAAACTTAAGGAGCAAGCAGAAGAGTACGCATCTCTGATCATGGAAGAACTTGATCCGGAGAATTTTGGATACATTGAGGTTCAAAAGACATAATATATATATCCTTATTAATATCAACCAATTTTTTAATGTTTCTTAGCCTTTTTGTGTTGTTTCAGTTATGGCAACTCGAGACACTCTTACTTCAGAGAGACACATACATGAACTACAGTAGACCACTTAGCACAACAAGCGCTGGAGTGAGTACACCAAGACGGCATCTAATTAGACCTCATCATGTGGTTCGAAAATGTAGAAAAAAACTTCAATGTCTGATTCTAGATAACTGGCAACGAAGTTGGGTTCTTCTATTATGGATCATGCTTATGGCCATTCTCTTTGTCTGGAAGTTTCTAGAGTACAGAAACAAAGCTGCTTTTAAGGTCATGGGTTATTGCTTAACCACTGCCAAAGGAGCTGCAGAGACTCTCAAGCTCAATATGGCTTTGGTTCTCTTACCTGTGTGTAGAAACACATTGACTTGGCTAAGATCTACACGCGCTCGAGCTTGTGTTCCTTTTGATGATAACATCAACTTCCATAAGGTAAAATATTGTACAACCTTCCATATTTCTTACTCATTAATACAAACTTGAGATCATGACTCTTTGCCTCTCTGTTGTCCCATTTGTGTCCCAGATTATTGCTTGTGCCATAGCGATTGGGATACTTGTTCATGCTGGTACCCATTTGGCTTGTGATTTTCCCCGGATTATAAACTCGAGTCCAGAAGAATTCGCTTTGATCGCTTCTGCCTTCAATGGTACTAAGCCCACATTCAAAGACCTGATGACAGGTGCAGAAGGAATCACCGGAATCTCAATGGTGATCTTGACAACCATTGCATTCACATTAGCATCAACTCATTTCAGGAGAAACCGTGTGAGGCTTCCAGCACCGCTTGATCGCTTGACTGGCTTTAATGCATTCTGGTACACTCATCACCTTCTAGTGGTTGTCTACATAATGCTCATTGTCCACGGGACCTTCCTGTTCTTCGCTGATAAGTGGTATCAGAAAACTGTAAGCAGCAGCAAACATAATCTCTCTTTGCTCTAAAACCGAAATACCAAAATGTATCCTCATTTTTTTTTATTACGACTGTTCTCAGACTTGGATGTACATTTCGGTTCCTTTAGTGCTCTATGTGGCAGAACGAAGTCTGCGAGCTTGTAGGTCAAAGCATTACTCTGTCAAAATCCTCAAGGCAACCACCATAAACAGAGCAAATTCATTCCTGTTAAAGGTGTTTCAATAACAAAATAAACCCATAACCTTTCAATGTGATCTCTGCAGGTTTCTATGCTACCTGGAGAAGTACTTAGCTTAATAATGTCAAAGCCTCCTGGATTCAAGTACAAGAGCGGTCAATACATATTCTTGCAGTGTCCAACCATCTCTCGATTTGAATGGTGAGTACTGATGCCAAATTCCCATAACGTTAGCAAACATCTTGGGTTTCACTCAGAAAGATATTCCCTTAACTTTTCCAGGCACCCATTTTCTATTACCTCTGCACCAGGAGACGACCAACTGAGTGTTCACATCAGAACACTCGGAGACTGGACAGAGGAGCTACGACGAGTTCTAACCGTGGGCAAAGAACTTTCAACATGTGTGATTGGGCGTTCAAAATTCTCTGCCTATTGCAATATTGATACAGCACAGTATATTTCAAGACACCTTATCTTTCTCCTTTCTACACTTAGCTACCTAGTATTAACATGCCTTGTTGATCCTAAATTTGGCAGCCGGCCGAAATTACTAGTAGACGGTCCATATGGAGCTCCAGCACAGGACTACAGAAGCTATGATGTCTTGCTCCTTATTGGATTGGGAATAGGAGCTACTCCTTTCATAAGCATCCTGAAGGATCTCCTGAACAACTCAAGAGACGAACAAACAGTAAGCCCAACACCGGAAAAGTTAGTCTTTTCAAGAACCTTGCATCAAACAATATTTATCTCTGAACTTTCCATGGCACAGGACAATGAATTCAGCAGATCGGATTTCAGTTGGAATAGCTATACATCTTCATATACCACAACAACCCCAACTTCAACACATGGAGGGAAAAAGAAAGCAGTGAAGGCTCACTTCTACTGGGTCACAAGGGAGCCAGGATCCGTTGAATGGTTTAGAGGAGTAATGGAGGAAATATCTGACATGGACTGCAGAGTAATAATCACCGAGATATCATCTATTTTCATCACCTCTTGAGTGTTGATCGATATACTAACATATTCCTCGATCTTCTCGTGAAACAGGGCCAGATTGAGTTGCACAACTACCTTACAAGTGTATATGATGAAGGCGATGCAAGATCAACCCTTATAAAAATGGTCCAAGCTTTGAACCATGCCAAACATGGAGTTGATATTCTATCAGGAACACGGGTAAGATTTGTTGCAGGGCATATAATCAGACACTATTTTCCAATATTACTAATAAGTAACAAGATAACAAACATTCAAACAGGTGCGAACACATTTTGCAAGGCCCAACTGGAAGGAAGTCTTCAGTAGCATAGCAAGAAAGCATCCAAATTCGACAGTTGGTAAATTTTCTATACAATCATCTGCTTACCTGGAAGACATCTGATAAACCTTTAACGACACAAGCAGGCAAATGAACCTGTTAGCTAATAAAGTATTTCAAAGCATATGTGAAAACTGTTTATCGAATCTTGCAGGAGTGTTTTACTGCGGCATACCAACCGTGGCAAAGGAGTTGAAGAAGCAAGCACAAGACATGAGCCAAAAAACAACCACACGGTTCGAATTTCATAAGGAGCATTTCTAATTCAGTGTTACAAGTCAGCCTCCATCACTTTCCCTAAAGTGAGATTCAAATCCCGCCAGCCGTTATTTTTCTCATACTAACTTCACATTCACTTAGCAAAATAGATTATATACACTATGTCACAATGAAACATTGTCTTGCCTGTTTGTATAGACCCGCCTAAAGGCATGAAAATAACAAAAAAAATTACTATACGAAATAATATACGAGTCTTTGCAAAGATGATCCAATCTCTATTTCCATTATAAGCTAATAGCCACGAAGGAAACAAAAAAACAAAGTTTCATTAAAAATATGCCTCGAGCACCATAAACTGGAACTAAAACACACTCACGAAGGATAATAAGTAATAATGCCTTTGTGTCAACTGTACCGAAACTGCAGTAGAAGGCAAAACAGAGGTCTGAGTTTAATCATCCTTTATTTTTCTGAGTAATTTGGAAGCCCACCTTCGAACCCTTCTCTTAAGGGTATAACCCACAAACACCCCGGCTACAAAGAACACAGCGCACAGCTTTGAGCACGTCCACATCGAAACGCCGCTGCCACCAAACATAGTCCCAGGATACCGTCAGAAGAAAACTTTGAATAAAAGTTTTAGTACATAAAACAAGTAAACTCATAACATATCAATCGAATCAATCAAAAGCAACCCAAATCTCCAACTTAATCGTTTATAATCGACCTGCACAGTTCAGTTCCTTAGGTAACTAAGATCTTAGATCAATCTAACAAGCCATTTCAAATTACAAGCTTTTTCTGTGTGGAATTGGGAAACCATCATAGTCTCTACTAGAGACTCTCTAGGTATTAGTTCAAGACATGTCCACAATTATCTCCCAATAGTAAGAACATCACTCACTTTTCTTAGGACCCAAAATTCTAAAACTTTTTTACTTTCTTTTTGATTAATCACAACAATTCAAACAAATTTCAGATGATCTTGAATCCAGATTATCAAAAGTATGAACAGAAGAAGCTTACCTCGGAGGTCTGGTGACCAGAACGCCGGATCCTGAGTCGTATGTAGTCAAGTTGCTGCCGGAGCCTCGTTTGTCCTGCATCAGATTTTCCGCAAAATCAGAAAGAGAAGACGAAGAAGAAGAAGCTGCCGATTTCGCATCTTTCACCATCTTGCTGTAAAACTTCTCTAAACCCTCCATTGCTGTCCGATTATCGCAAAAAAAAATAAAAACGATCAATTAGGGTTTAAAGGGTTCATCAAAATCCTCAGCTGATGCTGTTTCCACTTTCCAGTGATGAAGCTGATTACTAAATTGACTTGTCGTTGACCGAAACTACAAGGTCAAAATTGGTATTTCAATTGGAAAGTGCAACTAATGAAAAAAACAAATTGCCAAAAAAATAAACATAATTCACATATGTTCTAATTAATCCAAATTTAAAAATTTCAAACTTATTTTTGTCTTTAACTGTAAGTCAATAGTACTATTTTTTTTTTAAAAAATTTACAATAATACTCCATCCATATCATAAATACTAACTGATGTTTTATTCCAAATTTTTTGTTTTATTAAGTCATGTTTTATGTTTTTGGTGTAAATTATTTATATTTTTGGGTTTGTACGTGTTTTATTGGTTGAGTGTGTTTAGGTAGATAATAAATAGTGTTTTTTTAGAATAAAATGATTTCTTAAATATGTAGATTAAAACCTTAAAAATAAATCTCTATTATATCTTTATACAAAATTCTATGTAGTATTAAAACAGTTTTTTTTGTTTGTTTTTATCCATAGAAGCTCATGAACTTAAACATACTTATTCCTTTATTCAATGACATAATATAATACATCCATCACACAATTTTATTCATAATTAATAATTTCATTTCATAATAATACATTAAATTTAGTTTGAGGCATCTTCTTCTTCTTGATGGAGTCGGTAATCTTGAGAACCATAAGGACTAAAAGCTTCAAGGAGCAAATTGGATTTACGCCAAGGGCTGAGTCCCATGTCGTTGCACAAATCATCGGCATGTTGGATGCTGAAAGTGGAAATGCAATGACGTTTGTAAAATCTGCTTGATCTTCTCGTCACTTCCATTTCCTTGAAAAATTCATCTATCATCTTCTCTTTGCTTGGTAATCTGAATTTATCATCCACGAGCCTGCTTAGCCACATCGAACGTAGCTCTGATGTGTGTAAGTTCGAGTTGCTCTGGACGTATCCCACGAAACCCATGTTTGGTATCAATGGATGGATTGTTCCCCTAGAAGATAATTAGTTCTTGTTACTCATATTATTTATATGGTTAAAAATTCATACGAGTATTAAACGAAAACATATACTGTATATGGATCTTTCATTCAAGATTTGTAAATAGTTGGAACGACTGTAATTAAGGATGTTTTTTTTATAAGTGTATGTACCTGTATAAAGGCATGACACCGGATGGAAACTCAAGCCAAGTTCGAAAAGGTTCAGGAACAATGGCTTTGAGTTTCTTCTTGCCATCATAACCAGTCGCAAGTATCACCACATCAGCTTCTAACGTAGTTCCATCTTCAAACTCAATACCTTCATCATAAAAGCACCATTTTGATGTTATCTTGAACCGGATCATCCCTTTATCCGCTTCCTCAAAGAAATTTTCCGGTACGATTGCCATTTGACAAGAAGCATAGTCTTCCTCGAAAGAATGGTCTGGTTTAAGACCATATTTCTCTAGAGGCAGCTTCCACAAAACATATGATTCGATGAATTTGGAGACCGCAGCGCGCTGTTTTCACATATATATACACAGTACGTCTATAAATATTCCGATGATTGCGAAAATTTATAAAGAAGTAAGAAGGGTTTTACGATCACTAACCAGAAGAGAGAAGAGGAGGCAAAAGAGAGTTCTAAGGAAGCTTTGGTTAGGCCTATCATGGAGGAACTGAGAAGCTCTGGTTGAGTAGAACAAGAAGAATGGTAATCCCCACACCCAATAATGTGGAAACACCCAATGTGTTGTTCTCACCACCATTGTGCATGCTTTGCCTCCTTCTCCTACAAAATTTTAAATAGTTTATTTAGTTAATGAAATCATATTATATATACGACGATCGTAACTTAATGTGTTGTTTTCACTTTTCACCATCATTGTTTATTGTATCAAGTTAAACATTAACGGTCAAGTCCAATCGAGAAGAAATACTACTAATACTCATCAAAGACAATTATTGCTATTAGTTTTATTTTATTTTGACTTTAGCTCATTGTTAGAGTGAAGCTAATTAATTAAGTATTACTAAACAACGACTTTTTTTTTATCAAAAAGAATTGAAAAATATTTATATACATTAGATATGTATGTACCTTGATTAGCCAAAGCAGACTCTAAAGCCAAATCAATGGCGGATTTCTTGAAGCCGATGACGGCAACTTTTTTGCCACGGAGGAGAGTAGAAGCTTCTTCTTTCTCTAACTTGCAGTAGTCCATCGAATGCATCACTTTACCTTTGAATATCTCCGGCCCTTTCTTTGTCGGAAAAGCCGGTATTCTTGGAACGTCGCCGAATTTTCCGGTACACACCACCACGAACTCAAATGCATGCCACTGCGCACGCACATTAATCACAAAATTATTAAACCATTATTCACTAATAGACGTAAGTAAGCAATCGATCAAGTTTATAAATTGCATGTAGTAGTTTTAAAAAAACTATTTGGAAATTCTATGCGATTTTAACATCAAAAAGGTATTAATATTAGTAAAGTAACCATTAAAAATGTAAACTACATGAAAATTTGAGATCCTATCATCAACTTCTACGTTACCAAAAACACAATCGTTAAAGAAAGTGTTTTAAATATGTGCGAATAATGCACCATATTGGTCGTATAAATGCATGCAGGAGAAATACACGAGACTGATGAAAGATGTAGAGAATTCAAACAAACCTGAATATCTCCAGAATCTCCAGTTTGAACGGCAACTTCCCAAACTGGTTTTCCGGGCAACAAGTTGCCGTAAGCACCAAAATCAACCATCTGAGGAGTTTCGCCGTCACCGGTGAACTTAACTTCGATGACCTTAGAGCCAAACTTCATGAACTTGAGAAGATCAAAATGCTTAGCATAAGATTCCAAGTAGTCTAGAATCTCAACGTAAGATGGGAAAGTAGGATCATCTCTATCGGGCCATGGAAAGTCAGAGAACTCGTAATCGACTCGAGCGGATTGTAACTTGGTCGTCTCGTAAGTGCAGCTCCTCCAAACACCTCCGACTGAATCCGAGGCTTCGAATACAGTCGGGTTGTGATGAGCTAAGTTCTTCGCAGCAGCTAAACCACTAACACCAGCACCAATGATGGCAACTCTCGAAGAAGTAAGCTTATTGTAGTTAGAGGCCATTTGGAGATATTGTGCTAGAGAGAAAGAGATAGATAGAGAGATAAATGGTTTTGATGAAGAGTGATTTGAGTAGTTTGTGAGTTTGCATGGGGCATTATTTATATAGAGTGTTTTTTTTTTGGGTCGGGCGGTTTAATCTTGTGTAGTCGGGTTGGGTATCGGGTTTAAAGCACGTGATTTGAATATTAGTTAGTTTTGGAAGAGTTTGAAAGATCTATGGAATTGTTTTTTTTTATTTTGCCTTGAGAAGTTTGGTGGTTGTTGTGAGGAAATTTCTGTAAGCATGCGTTGTGATTAATATAATTCGCTCTTTGTATAATTGTATTTGTTCATGTTGGTGTACAAAAAATAAAAGGTATTTGTTCGTGTTAAATTTCTAAGTACTTTCAAGAAGTCTAATGGAATATTTTTCTCCTTCGTTAAAATATAGTCTTTTTAACTTGCTTTTCTCTTCTCGATCGAATTTGATTATTAAGAGCTTCTTAGTATATAAATTGACTGACTTTATTATATAGAATATGAATAGATTAAAACTCTATTCCGAGTAATTGAGAAGATTTTCTTTGTTCCTCAGTGGAAAAAATTATTTGTGTTTAGCACAAATTAATTTAAAAATTCATCGTACGATAAAACTTTTAAACATGTATTGCGTGTGTTTAATCACGGATTAGTAATTTGAACGCTCAAAAACACTCAACATAACTTAGCACATGTTGGTTTTGTTCTTCTCTTCTAATTTACAATCTTCGTATGCTTTGTGATATTGTTACGTCGCCAACATCTTATGAAAGACAAAAAATGTTTGTCTAATTTCCTAGAGCCTTTCTAACATTAATGTTATCAAAGAACAATGTGACTATCGATCGGTACTCTATTATAGACAAAAATGTTCTCCACGATGGAGTACTAAAAGCAAACAAAGAAACAACGACATACATTATAATCTAGATGAGACACATCGATCAAAAATAACAATTTCAATAATAGAGTCGACGAAGACATGCTTGTAGCTCGTTTGATTTCCGCACAAGAAGCCGGTCCCGAATGATAATGAGCAGGCGATCCTCTAAGTAACATAATGCTTAATTTACACATACTTAACATGCTAGTTTATTATTAGCTAGCATAAAGATATACAAAGTTCATATTCATTTACTTATATTTAACTCTTATTGTGATTTACCTAACAGTGGAGCAACGGTCGAAAAACAAAAAAAACGTGCATGAGGGACGTCAATGAGGCAATGACGATATAAAAAGATTTGAGTCTTACTGTTGCCGTCGTCATATAATACAAGATCTTGAGTTATAATGTCTCTCTCTATACATGGTCTTTGGTCGATAGACTTTGTATATCTATTTTAAATAATCATTGTTGGTCTACTCTTTTATCTTTTAATTTATTTCTGTCGGACTCATGAACTTTAACTACTATATATATATATATATATATATATATATATATATATATATATATATATATATAT